TGTATGAATGTGTATCTTTTGGGTATATGACTCAGAGTGGAATTGCTGGATCTTGTGGTTGACTGATTCCCATTTTCCTGTGGACCTGCCATAATGATATGAAAAGTTTTTTTTTAAGATTATGTATAGTTTTCTGCCTGCATGTATGCCTGCCCACCAGAAGAGGGCACCAGATGTCATTATAGAATTTTTTGAGTCAATTTTGTGATTGCTGGGAATTGAACTAAGGACCTCTGGAAGAGGCCAGTGCTCTTAACCTCTGAGCCATCCCTAAATTAGTTTTGTAGAAGTAAGTTGTAATTTGGATAATTTGTATCTACCATATAATATTATCCAATTTCACTGATAGTATTAAAAACCCAACATATTTTCAGAATTCCCTTCCTATCTTGTGTCCTTTATCATTTTTTACTACTGTGTTTATCATGATGCATTGTTATAATAGATTGTTAATGTTATTGCTTTGAATTGTCACGTACTTTTAGAGCAATATAAAATAAGAAAAATAGAGATCATATTTAACTGGCTGTTTTAGAACAGAGGGATGCCATGATCCTTTTAAAATGTAATTATTATTACTCTGATTGTTGTAGGGGGCAAGTAGAGAGACCAGGAGGCTATTGCTCTAATCTAATTGATGAAGGATAGTGGTTTGTTCATCACAGTTAAGATGCCTAGATTTAAAGCTATTGTGAAGTATTTGAATAAGAAGTTTATATTGAAACACTAAAACTTGACTAGTATCAAGTAACAACAACAAAAAAACGTTTAGCCTCCCTTTTTTGAGACAGGGTTTCTCTGTGTAGCTTTGGAGCTGGTCCTGGAACTCACTCTGTAGACCAGGCTGGCCTCAAACTCACAGAGATCCTCCTGCCTCTATCTGCCAAGTTCTGGGATTAAAGTCGTGCACCACCACTGGCTGGCTAGCCTTCCTTTTCAATAAAATATTCTAATACAATTTTATTTTGTCTTGACATTTCATTCCCAAATATTTGTGTATCTTAAATGAAGCAAATTTTAAAACATACTTTCTTGAGTAGCCACACTGCATTGTAACACCTAACAGTTACCAGCAGTTCCTTAAATATCCTTTAATACTCAGATGCAAATTATTCTATTGTCACATTCTTTGTCCTTCTACAATTAACTTATTTCAGGTCTAAAAGTGGGTCCACTTGTTGTAATTTGTTGGTTTATATCTTGTATCTCTTAATAAGAAAACAGGCATTTTCCTCTTTACTTTTTTGTTTCATGCCTCTGTTTTATGAATGAAGTTTGGTCAGCTGTCCTTTTGTTTCCATGGGATTAACTTGTTCTGCTATGTTTCTTGTAGAAGATAAATCAATGCCTTGTTTACATTTAGGCTTTTTGTGATAATACTTCATATGTGGCACTGTTTCTTGTTGCTTTAAATGCAAATGCCCATTATGTTTGATTAGGATTTTTAGGCGTGCTAAGATTCATGTAGGTTTATGTGGTAATGACATTTTCAATGTGAATTGAATAGGATGCCAAAACTATAGGAGATTTGCCTGAACCAATTATTTTAGTAAGAGTTGCAAAATGATCACCTTCTGGTTACATCACCACCACATTTATTAGCAGATGTTACGAGAACACCTTGTACACAGCATTGCTTGATTGACTTGAAATATGTTTCATATCAGAAAAGCATAACAAAGAGGAAAAATAAGCATCAGTTTCCAGAGTAATGAATTGGCACCCTAGCAACCCAGTAGTGTCAAGTGAGGCTTTTTTGTCTAAATACCATTATGAATTCATAGACTTTATATATTCAGTGTGTTTTAATAAGCTGTAATTATTCCTTCTGATTTTACCATGTCTCATATTTAGGTAACCCCTTCATGCTGTCTTTTGTATCTTTTTAATACACCCTTTTGGCCTTGGAAATTTTCAGTGCTTTTTGTCTCAACAAGATATTTGGCTGGGTATGATGGTGCACATTTGTAATCCCAGCATTCAGGAGATGGTGGCAGGAGGATTTTGAGTTGCTAGCCAGCCTGGACTCTAGGATAAGAAACTGGCCTCAAATTCACTATGTAGCTGAGCCTGGCCTCCTGATCTTCCTGTTTCTACTTCCTGAGTGATAAGATTATAAGGCATGGACTAACTACACCTCTCAGATCTTTTAATGTGGAAATTTTTACATACGAAAAGTAGACAGATGTGCTGGGCAGTGGTGGCTCATGTCTTTAATCTCAGTACTTGGGAGGCAGAGGCAGGTGGATCTCTGTGAGTTCAATGCCACCCTGGTCTAGAAAGCAAGTCCAGGACAGCCAGAGATGCTACAAAGAAAAACCCTGTCTCGGGGTTTAAAAAAAAGTAGACAGAAGAGCCTGGTATGGTGGTACCTGCATTTAATCCCAGCCCTTGGGAGGTACAGGAAGAAGCAGGTAGATCTTTGTTAGTTTTATGCCAGCCTGGTCTACATACCAAGTTCAGGCCAGCCAGTGTTAACTAAGTAGTGGGACTCTGTTTCAAAAAAGAAAAAAAAAAGTAGACAGTCATGTAACAAAGCCCAGTATCTACCACCTAGTTTTCACAGTTGCCAAATACATTCGTGAGTTTTCCATTTCTATATATAAAGAAATAACTAAAATACTCAACTTAGTAATAAAGAAAATTTTTTGTTTTGACTTGTAACTTTGGGAACTTTCAGTCTATGACTGATCACCCTTGTTCCTTTGGGTTTTTAGTGGCACAGTGCACAGTAATGAGAACACATGTCAGGAAGAAGCCCACTCACACTGTACCTGAAACAAAAAGAAGCGATTGAGTCCCATTGTGTTTGTGGGATAGTCCCCAAAGACATAAAATCTCCCACTATGCACCATCTCTACTACCTTCCAATAGTGCTTTGGGCCGGGTACTAATTTTTTAACACATGGACTAAAATCCATGCTATTACATAGGCTTAGCCAGTATAAAGACTTAGTTAATTTTACTTTTTATAATACTCTTCTCCTGAATGTTTTGGTTTCTTACAATACTGTTTTAACGTAATGGTTTTATAATAACAGCATCTTTTACTTCCAGAGTAAGCTTAATGAGGTCATAAGATCTTTCTATATTTTTGTACTGAGGCCATATACACCACTGAGGATATACAAACATTGCCTTCTGTTGTTTAGAGTAAGTTTTTGTATGGTCCTATCACTAATTTAATAGACTCATTTGTTTTAGTTGGATTTTAAGTTTTAGAGCTGTTTTTTTCCCCCACATTTACTTTTGGCTTAGAGATACTGCCATGTTTTCCACTGTCAAGTTCCATAAAAGAGTAGATTGAGAGACTTCTCAGCCGCACCATACCACTACACTTGACCCCGTCTGTCTTTCAATAGGTAAACATTTTGTGGGGGGCTTTTGACATTTCCCTTTTGACATCACAATCAAGCTTGGAGTAGGTTCTCTAACATAAGAACTTTTCCCTAAAAAGCTACCTTTAGAATTATTCCCCCTTGAAAGGTTTTATTTGATACTTGTTTGTTTGTTTGTTTGTTTTTTGAGACAGGCTTTCTCTTTCTGGAACTTGCTCTGTAGACCAGGCTGGCCTCGAACTCATAGAGATCCTTTTGTCTCTGCCTCTTGAGTGCTGGGATTAAAGGTGTGTACTATCACTGCCTTGTGATACCCTCTTCTTATCACCCACATTTTCCACAGAGCCTTTTTGCCAAGAATAAGAAAATGTAAGCAGTAACCTTTTCTTTAACTCACTACCTATCATAATCTACAGATACCATGGCACTGTGAACTCATAGTTTAGCTTGTTCTTTAGGTCTGAGTGAGCGTACAGTTGACTGCTATATTGTTTGTCTTTCCAGTATGTTTCTGTATTCAGTTGCAACCCTCCAGGTATTTTGGTGCCAAATATAAACAGATCTGTCTCATTCTTGTGCTTTGTCCAGGACACATAGAAAGAACTACATCAAACTTAGCATTTCATATTTGTTCACTTTAGTTTTTCATACTTTGTACTCCATTATTCTATATTGTATTTGTTTAATCAGTTTATTTTCAAGACACATTTGTAAACTCTTGGAAGTCAAAACTTCTCTATAACCATAGGAGTTTTAAGACACACTTCGTTCAAAGAGGCATTGCTTTGGTGTTTGGCCTCAACTCCCTTGAGGTTTATTTCCATAGTTGGTGGGCTAGAACTTGGCTAGTAAGAGGGGAGCTGAAACGGAAGCAGGCTGCCTGGTAAGTCTATGAATGTTGACTTGATGCTTTTTATCTTGTTTGATATTTTGCCCACTAGTCCTTTTACTGCTAAATGAGTGGAGATTGTTTTGTTTTGTTTTAAAAAGAATAAAACCAGAGAAACCAGACAGTTTCCAACAGTTGAACATGTGACAGATAGTAAGGGGGTTGGAGAGGTGGCTTAGCAGTTAAGAATGCTTGCTGCTCTTGCAAAGGACTGGAATTCAGGTACCAGCACCCAAATCTAGCAGCTCAGAAACAACTGTCTATAACTCCAGCTACAGGGTATCCAGTGACCTCGTCTGTCCTCCACAAGGCACCTGCACCCCACATGCTCATACACACACACCCGCACGCACGCACACGCAATTTTTTAAAATGTGACACTAGTCCTGTAATATAGTACTGACCTGTTCATCATAAGATGAGACTCATTACTTGTTTTATGATAGGGATAGGGGAAAAGCTGAAATGATGTGCCCTTCTGTCTACCTCCTCCTTCTTTCCCACCTGATGAAGATACTAGAAATTTCTCAGGGAAGAATTTTTTTAAAAAATGAATGCTAAGTATAGTACATATCTGTAATGCCAGTACTCAGGAGGAAAAGGCAGAAGGATGGAGAAGAGTTCAAAGGCAGTCTGGTCTACATAGTGCATTCTAGGCCACCCAGGGCTACATAGTGAGACTGTCAAAAATCTAAAACAAAAGAAATATAAGGATTAGTTTTACAATATATTTATATTCGTGCTAAGAAAATACTTCTTGGGGTTCCTTTTAGGTCCTGTGATTGCCTTGGAATTTAATGGAGATGGTGCTGTAGAAGGATGTCACCATATTGTAAATGAGATATTCAATGGGACAAAGGTAAAAGATTTTACTGACTGTATCTCAATCTAACTTTCCACTTTATCGCCTTTCTCTTACAACCAAATAGTACTTGTATCTCTAGCATATTCTTTAACCCATAGGCTCACAACCATCTGTAACTCCAGCTCCAGAGGTTCAATACCCAATTCTGACCTCTGAGGAAACCAGGCATGTGCATAGTACACATACATACATGCAGGCAAACCATTCATACACATAAACAATCTAAAAACTTTTTAAAAAATAAAACCCTAAGCTTATGACTTTGTTCTGTAAAGATGTGGCCTTTGGTATTTAAGGGCTATAGAACTAATTTTTTATTTTGTATTTTAAATAGATGTTTGTATCCGAAAAGAAGGAGACAGCATCTGGAGATGTTGACAGCTTCTATAACTTCGCTGAGATACAGATGGGGATTTGAAGCGGATTGTGGTATTAAGCCCTTTCCAAACTTTATATATAGAGTTTGATAATATACTTATGTATATTACTCTTAGACCATTAGTAATTTTTACTAATGCTAAAATTGTTAAAGGCTATTTTTAAATAACTCTGAATATCATATCATTTACTTGAGGATCTAAATAGTTCATTTACATTAAGTGGTTTTAATCATCTTATAAGCTATTTATCCCCCTTCAATAAGCTTTCAGTTTTATTTCTTTTTTTAATTTTTAATTTTATTTTAGAAACAATCCTATTTTACATATCAATACCCCCATTCCCTCAGTTTTATTCCTCTTCATGTAATATTCTTATTAGAAAACAGAAGTGGAGCGGGGCGTTGGTGGCGCATGCCTTTAATCCCAGCACTCGGGAGGCAGAGGCAGGCAGATTTCTGTGAGTTCGAGGCCAGCCTGGTCTCCAGAGCTAGTGCCAGGATAGGCTCTAAAGCTACACAGAGAAACCCTGTCTTGAAAAAACCAAAAAAAGAAAAGAAAACTGATGTGGCTACCAGTTCACGATTTTAATATTAATTAAAAGTTCTCACCGGGTGGTGGTGGCGAACTTGGGAGGCAGAGGCAGGTGGATCTCTGTGACTTCAAGGCCAGCCTGGTCTACAGAGCGAGTTCCAGGACAACCAGAGCTGTTACACAGAGAAACCCTATCTCGAAAAACCAAAAAAAAAGTTTTTCCAAATTTCTGATAATTAAAACTTTCCAACTTTCCTTAGTCTCTATGGTATTAATTTGATAGTATATTTTCTTACTTATTTTCTCTTTTAATTTAGAGGAATTTGATAATTAATTAAACCTATGCACCTTTTTAAAATGCATATCCATTTAAATAATCATTTCCTTCTTGCATTATATGACTAATGAGATTTTGTACATGGAGTTGACATACTATTTTGTAAACTAAAAATTTTTAAAGAAATGGGAATTTGAAAGCTGAGTGCCATCTGTAGTCCCGGGCTACTTGAAATGCTAAAGTGGAGGAATCTCCAGCGCTCAGGTGTTCAAGACTTGACAACATAGTGAGACCCTATTTCCAAAGAAAGAAAAACTAATATACTCAATAAATCAGTTTTGCAAATACTTCTGACTACTTCATGAGTAGTATGGCTGTTTTTTTAAAATACAACTGCCAGATGACTCTTCTGTTTCCTAGTAAGAAAAAGTATTTGCAACATAAAACTACAGAACTCCAATCACCACAGATTTGACAGAGGTGATTACTGTCTGATAGCTCTTGTGACTATCAAGAGACCTAGAGCAAAACCTGTGACTTTTAGGTAAGGAATACTTTTGGGTAAGGTCTGATGATAGGCTAAGGCAGGTTATTCAAAATATCCATACATTTTAAACTAGTGTAATGTTTAAGAATGGTAAAAATCTTGGTTACCTGAAATAATTGTTTCTCAAACCCATTTGATCATAGTAATTTTCCAGGAGGTATGGGAATTATTCAGACATACACATTGGTGGATTCAGTCTTCAAATGCACAGATTCAGTTTTCAAGGGAAACTGCTTTAGGGTGTATTGTTATCTAAACTAATCAGTTCTGAAGGTATTGTTAAGTTGGTCTTACAACATTTAGCAGGGACAAACAGGAACAGCTTTCTTAGGCCCATTTAAAGGAATTTGAAACTATTTTTATAAAACAGACTGAAAATGGCCACTTATAAAAATTTCTTCCATGGTTGTTACTAAAAGTGTATTTTCATGTTTAAATGCTTTTGGATATTTTCAAGTCAAATTATAACTATCATGTTGAATTGTTAATGTGTAGAAATAATACTTTGTTATTTTAAATTAAGAATATTGAGCACCTACATTGTGCCTAGCCTTGTGCTGTCATCATTTAAGCATTTCTTTTATAAAAGCATCATGTTTTACAAAGTCAATATGATCTCATGAGGTGCAAATAAAAACTGCTGGCAGGTATAATAGAATGTCTATTATATTTTACAAATGATCTTTGCAAATTGTGGTCAGAGGCATTAATGTTTGCCTGAGTTAAGCTAACTTAAATGCATTCTTTTCTGTCATGATTATTAAATGTCACTATTCACATGTAAAACAATCTCAATGCTTTTTTTTCAGAACTAAAATGCAATGTTATACAAACCTATACTTTGATTTTTTTATCTTATTTGTAGCATTGTGCAAAAACTCAGGAATATAATGTAAAGGGACATTAGTTAATGATTTTGCCACCAAATTTAGCCTGTTAACCAAAGCCTAAAATTGTCTATTCAGTTAGATAAGAACTTTTGCTGATGTTGGCTATTTATTGACATTAATAACTGTCAGTTGGCTATTGAATATTTGAAAGAGTTTTAAAAATAAGTAGTTCTATGCTAGTTGTTTTTATAATTCTAAACTTTGGTAGTAATCATGATATACTAACTGCATTTCTGAGTAGCTTCTAAATTCTTGAAAAATAAATAATGATGAAAAATGAATTTTATTGTCATTTGTTTAAATATCTTATTAATTTACTTCTCTTGCTAATGGTGCTATTTTCTTTTGTGTCTGTATATTTATGTGTAGCTTTTATATGTAAATTTATCTAGTGTTTATAAAATGTGCTTTGCAATAAATATTAAAATTAAAATGGTTTAATAGTAACTTTTTTAAGAGTATTTCTATATTTACTCATACATATACCAAAAGTTGATACAATTTTTATTTTTGCTTTGGGGTGTTTTGTTATACAATTTTTAATTTTAAAAACAAAATAAGGTGCCAGGCATGGTGGTGCACGCCTTTAGTCCCAGCACTCAGGAGGCAGAGGCATGCAGATCTCTGTGAGTTCGAGACCAGCCTGGTTTATAGAGCTAGTTCCAGGACAACCTCCATAGCCACAGAGAAACCCTGTCTCGAACCCCCCCCCCAAAAAAAATAAAGGGGTATAATCTATGTCTCATACTAATGAAAAAAATGAACTGTTTGCTGAGTGTGTATATGTTTGATATATATACACAAGGTACTCTGAAGAAACGAAAAAGAAACATTTTAATATAAGGAATTTCTAGCATAATGTTTTCTTTGCTAAAATAGGCCACATTTTATTGTGACTGAATATTTGCTAAGATTAGGTATCTTTCTCTTCCATATTTAAAAAAAAGCTGGGTATAGCATATACAGTTGTAATCCCAACACTTAGGAATTCAAGACCAGAATAAGTTATGTATTGAGTTCCAGGCCAGCCTGGGCTACATAGTGAGAGCCTGTCTCAAAAAATAAAGAATTGTAATAAACTTTCTTTCAGGTTTATAAAAGTAGATGGTATTGTTATTGTCAAATTAACCAGTCTTTGTACCTTTCCTAGCTTATAAAACAAATATTGAAAGTACAAATTAGTTAGTTTTAAAAAAGTATAACGTTATGTTTATTTCTACTTATAAAGGTTCTACAAGCACAATAAGAACATTCGGAGCATTGGAACAAGCAGAAATGACAACGCAATAATAAAATTACTTCCTGTTGGATAACTCTTGATGTCTAAACTTTGTTTTTCTCATAAAATATATATTTAAGTGAAAGTGCTTTGATGCACATTAAAATTTGAGATGCTCATTATGTACTTTAGTTCGACAAGCTGTAGAAATCAAGGTGCCCTCAAAACCCTTTCTAGGGCTGGAGAGATGGCTCAGAAGTTAAGAGCACTGGCTGCTCTTCCAGAGGACCTGAGTTCAATTCCTAGCAACCACATGGTGGCTCACAACCATCTGTAATGAGATCTGGTGCCCTCTCCTAGTATGCAGGCATACATGCAGACAGAACACTGTATACATAATAAACAAATAAATATTTTTAAAAACCCATTTTAGAAGCATTTTCTCTTTTAAAAGTGGCTTCTTTGCAGCAGATAGCAGTTAACATGGAGACCCTTAACTACTAGTTAATAATATACAGAGTAGCAGACTGTAGCGTGCTCAGCCCTAATTGGGACATCTGTACCACACCTCCCTCCAAAGCTCAGGGATCTTCTTAAAAGAGGAGTTGGAGAGATCCAGAGGTGGTAAACAACACCAAGGGAACTATTTTCTGGATACAAACGGACAGTTGTACATAGGCACTTGTACATAGTGATTGTGACACCATGCACAGGACTTGTGCAAGCTCCAGCCAGACAAAAGATCACAGCACAGAGCGGGGAGGGTGGGCTCAAATTCTCACCACTAGCTAAGAAGCTATTGGCATTTGATAGCTTCTGAGAGAGAATCAGGCTTCTTTAATGTTCTGACCCTCTGGTAGGATGACCATGGGCTGTGACAGGCTACACTCCCAAGACTATCTAGCAACACAAATTGGACTTGATGGGAGAAAAAAAATCTCAAAATTGTGTGAGAAGGAATGGAAGGGTAGTGAGGGTAATTATGGGAGGAGTTGGGTGAAAGGGTAAATATGTTTAAAATGTGTCACATGAAATTCCCAAAGAATGAGTTTGTTTGAAAAATAGACGCAGGAGGTATGATGCAGATGCATCAATTGGGATTTGGTTCCTTGCAATCTTTGGATTTCTGTGTCTTGTCCATAAATACTGTACTACAAAACAGTACAGCATCCTTAAAACAGTCTTTATAAAGTATAACACTGAAAAATCCAGCTTTCATGTGAATGATAGTCATGTATTATAGTTTCAATCTGAAGTATCTCTCAAAGGTTCATGTGTTAGGCTCAGCAGATAAAAGGGCTTTCTGTACAAGACTGGCAACCTGTATTTGAACCCACATAACTGTAGAATTAAAGAATCAATTACACATAGTTGTCCTCTAACCTTCACACATGTGCCATGACATGTGTGCCCTCACACAATAATAAAAACTTGTGACGGTCCAAGTTTGGGATATCTGTATCATATTCCCCTCCCACAAGGCTTAGGGAACATTGAGGAAGAGGGGCAGAGAGATTGTAAGAGCCAGAGGTCAGGGAGGACTACTATGAAGTAGTGTCTTCTGAACATAACAGAACCCTTACACTCCTAAACTCAGCAACTGTAGTTGCCTGTCCAGCATTTGCACAAGATCAAGCCAACAAGCCCTCTGTGATTGCCTGCCAGATACTTGCACAAGATCAAGCTAGTCAACACTCCAACATGGATAAAGGTAGGGCTTATGATACTCAACCCCTAACTGTTGAAAGGGGGATGTGGTGGCAGGCCTGGGGTATGGATATGTGTAGCACGAATTCCCTTTGGTCTTAATAATAAAAACCCAGAGTCAGATATTACATGGAAAGCTGAAAGATCAGAGAAGCAAAGCAGCCAGCCACTAGCTCTTACATCTACCTCAGACCGAAGGGGCAATCCTGACCTCAAACCGCATCCTCAGACTGACTGCTCCTCAGACTGCATCCTTAGACTGCATCCTCAGACCTCTTCAGACTGACTGCCTCAGACTGACTGCTGCTTAGACTTCCCTGAGCTCCTGTCTCCTCCTGATTTATGTTCCTCTCTCTGCCCAGCCATATCCCTTTCTGTCTCTACCTCCTTAGTGCTGGGATTAAAGGTGTATTGCTCCAAGAGCTGGGATCAACTTTGTGTGAGCTGTTTCTCTTTTAGACTGGATCAATTTCATGTAGCCCAGGGTGGCCTTGAACTAACAGATCTTTTTGCTTCTGTCTCCCAAGTTCTGGGATTAAAGATATGCACCACCACTGCCTGGCATCTATGGCAAGCTAGTGTGGCTAGCTTTGCACTCTGATCTTCAGGTAAGCTTTATTTATTAGATAATAAAAATATCACCACAGATATGACCTAAATACATTGTATTAATATATGAAATTACAAAAGAATATATTTTGATTTTTTTGAGACAGAGGTTCTCTGTGCCTTGGTTGTCCTGGAACTCACTCTGTAAACCAGGCTGACCTCAAATTCAGAGACCCACCTGCCTCTGCCTCCTGAGTGCTGGGATTGAAGGCGTGTACTACCACTCAGCTATACATAATTTTTTAAAGTTCATGTGTTTGTTCACCAGCCCATGGTGCTTCCAGGAGGTAGTGGAACTTTTTGGAAATCGGTCTAGTGAAGGTAATTGCCGGCATGCCCTTCACAGGGACCAGCATCCCTTCCTCCTCTCTTATGCTTCCCAGACACCTGTTTACTTCTCAGGTAAACAGTTTTGCTATATTTCCAATTCCCTGCCATGATGCCGCACCACAGGCCTGAAAGCAATGGACTGATTGGCCTTGGACTGAAACCTTTAAAAACATGAACTAAAATAAAGATTCTTCCTTAAAAGGTAGTTTTCCTCAGGTATTTGAAATGGCAGCAGAAATGTTAATAGTGAAAACCTTTTTTTATAAGTGATATATTTCCTTCCCTGTTGACTTGTTTTTCTTTCTTGGTATATACAAAATGTTGGGGAGGAGTAGAGATAAGCCATTATAGTTCATCCCTTTCCTTATATGACACCATGGCTCTTTGTAGTAAAATGTTCTTTGTAGTAAAAAAAAAAAAACTGATTTTTTTCCTGTTTTAGTAATTTTGTACTTTCTTGGTGAATATTTGTTTTCACCTATAAATAGTGAACATAATTGGTAGAGCCTTCAGCATTGTCACCCTGGCTCTGGTCCTCCGGTCACCTGCATTCGTTGCTTCAGTTTAATCTGGTCCACTTGTAATTAGACTAATGAAAAATAACTTCAATTGTGTGACTACTAATTAACTGATGTCTGCTGTGTCCATTGAAAGTGAAGAGTGATTTATAGATGTTAAGTGTCATTGTGCTGAACAAAGTGGATGTGATGCTTTTTAAAATAGTTAAGTGATAAGGGCCATACACCTCACCACAACTAGGCAATTGAGTGGGGGGGAAAAGTATAAGTGGTATTTAGGACTTAAGTGCTGTTCTCTTACAGCATGTTGCAGTTTCAATTGTAAAATGTAGTTTGGTCCATTAGGCTCATTAATAGAATCTTTTATACTATTTTCTTTAACTTATAAATTGTAAGTGATTTACAACTAGTTTTAAGTGTTGGAGATAGAGCCCAGTGCCTTGCATATGTTAGGAAAGTGCTCTACCTCTGAGCTACATGCCATCCTTAGTTTTCATTAGTCTTCGTTTTAGGACTGTGAAGAGTTCTCAATTTTGTATTTTACAGATGCAAAAGAAAACAGGGTCAGAGTTTGGAGTCAGTGAACTGCAGTGTAAGCCTCTTTGCTGTCCTCTTGTGGTTACTAGGGGAGCGAGACTCACTTCAGCCTCCCATGTGAAGCGTTTTCCAACAATCACAGACAGAAAGGCCCAGTCCCTGCTTGATGCTCACACAATGCTCCATACAGATCTCCAAGAACGCATTTCTATGCCTCTCTGGCCACCCATATTTCTAGTCTAGCATCTGCATCACCTAGGAACTGGTTAGAATAAGCTCCACTCTAACACCTATCGACTAAACATCTATGAATATATTATTCGGGAAAGTCAGGTGTTTATGTGCATTTATACTAATGTATGAGAAGCTCATTCTGTATTAATTGACCCCAAGCTACAATCTTAGCTTCTTGTGTAATTAATTACTCTCTTCATGTACTCTCCTTGGTTTGGGAACTAAAATCAAATACTTTTCAATATTAAACTTGTTTTTGTTTTTTTTGTGTTGAAGTAGTAACTACCATCTCCGCTCCTGGGAAGCTTTAAGAATATCAGTGATGTTCACTAAAAACAAAATCTCAGACATTTCTGACTTAAATTTTTATCTGTTGTGTTTCTATGTTGAAGTTTAGGTGATTTGTTGATGCTAGGCTGAATTAAGATAAAGAACAGTCAGGTACTTTCTTTGGACATATGGGAGAAGTTAATTACTTGGTTCCCCTCAGATCTGTCAACCTCTGTATCTTTTGACATCTTTCCACTTCAGATGTTCAGATATGAGCTTAGGCAGCTGTAAAACATATATGATTGTCTAAGAAAGCTTGGTGTTTCCAGATCTGGGGCCTTATTTTTTCCTAGAGTGAAGGCTTAGCTGTAAGTCTGAACATTTGAAGAAAACTCAAGGGGCTGGAGAGATGGCTCAGAGGTTAAGAGCACCGACTGCTCTTCCAAAGGTCCTGAGTTCAATTCCCAGAAACCATATGGTGGCTCACAACCATCCATTATGAGATCTAGTACCCTCTTATGAAGTGCAGATATACATGGAAGCAGAATGTTGTATACATAATAAATAAATAAATAAATAAATAAATAAATAAAAAGAAAGAAACTTGGTTGTCTTTGCCTCTAAAACAAAATTTTAAAAAAGAAGAAAACTCAAATCACAAATTCATAATTTACTTTTATAGTTTTTCTTCCCATTACTCAGTATAAATACATTCATGTCTTTATCTGAGACTTGGACTTTCTTACTTAAAAAGTGCTTACATTAGTCAGTGGTAGAAAACCAGGATCCATGAAGCATATGGTCACCCTCTTCCCATTACTGTTTTAAATGCAGAATAATACAGTAAGAAAGAAAAGAAAAGAGAACCATGTGCACAAATACAGTGGTT